TCTCCAGCTCCATCTCCTCCTAGTTGCGGCGGAAGACTGCGGTCCTCAAGGCTGGGCCCATCATGTCCATCGGGCCTGCCACGCCCATGTAGTGCCGCAGCCCGCCCCACATCGGGGGCTTGAGGGGATCGCCCGAATAGGCCTCGACGATCTGCGACACACGAAGACACAACACTTCAATGCTGGCCAAGCTGGGTAGGTTGACCTGGTAGTAGCTTCCCGCGTAGAAGATCGATGCGAGCAGGCACTTCATCTCGATGTAGCTGCGGTCCGTCTGGCTCAGCTGGCGGCCCCGCGCCCGCAGGTCCAACCAGGGCAGAGGGGAGCCGCAGTTCTGCTCCCAGCGCTTCGCCATGTGCTCCGCCGTGCTGAGGCCCTCTTCAAGCGGCCAGTCCTCGAACGTGTACTTCTTGGTCTCGCGGGCGACCTCGCGCCGCGGCCTGTGGCGGTCTCCCTGCTCGTCGTGCTGAACCCACAGCGCCCTCGCGTCATCGATCGAAACCGCCTCGCGCGCCCCCCCCGGGGGGGCACCCGCAGCCTGCGTCTCCTGATCGCCAGCGCTAGGGCCGGCGCCCTCGGCAGCTCCGCGCGCGGGGTCGGCCTCGCCGCCAGGTGGCAAGGCCGGCGGCGGCAGCGGCGGCCCCCCCGCACGGGCGTCGACGGGCAGGTCCCTCTCAACCAGCCCGAGCAGCTCCCTCGGGCGCCTGTCTCTGAAGGTGTCCGCCGCGCCGACGGGGATTGCCTCCACGAGCTGCCAAACGCCGACCTCCCTCACCATTGCGTGGTCGTCGTCCAGCCTGACGCCGCCAAACTCCAGCACCACCTCGGTTCCCAGACGAAGATGGATCTCCGCGGGATCAACCAGCGGCTCGTCGCCAACGTGCGCCTGCTGATCAGTCCTCGACCTGAGCACGGCGGCTCGCAGCTACTCCCAAGTCGGCGGCTGCGCGAACCGGTAGGACACGCCATGGGCCAAGGCGGCCGCCGTGCCATCCAGCGCGACGGTGAAGGCCCTGTTGCAGCCGTCGCCGACCGCACCCGACGCGTCCTCGGAGCACCGGTCGCCGTCCGGCGTCAGCACCCACCAGTACATGCACCCCGCGAGGTAGAGCAGCACTCGCTCATGCCACACCGTGTCGCGTGGGTACCAGAGCCCGACTCGGCGCCCTGGCCCGAGCTCACTGCACCACGCCCCCACCTCGACGAACGTGCCGTCCGCGGCCAAGGTCGTCGGGTCGCGGCGGCGGCGGGGGAGTGGGGCGATCATTCCGACGGGCTCGGGCCGCCACGCAGCAGCACACCAGGATCACCGCCTCCCCGCAGGCGACCCCCCACGCCAAGATGAAGGCGAAGGGACAGCCCTCGCCCACGGCTGGGCCTGCCTCGGGCGCGGACGGCGCCGCACGGGCCTCCTCAGGCCCCAGGGGCGGCAGCCGCTCCAGCAGCGCCGCGGCCACCTCGTCGGCCGAGGGGCAGGTGGCCGGCGCCGGCGAGGAGTTCGCCGCCAGCCAGGGCCTGAGCTTCTGCGCCACGGCCGCGGCCACCGCGCCGGCGCTTGGCGCTGGCGGCGGAGGCGGCGCCGAAGGCGCGGGCGGGGGCCATTGCGGCGCGTGGCACACGCAGGAAGGGCAGCTGGTCGAGGCGGCCACCAGCGCCGCCAGCCAGCTCGTTGCCCAGCACAGCCCGGCCCAGGCAGCGGGCGCCCCCACCGCGGCGCTCACCGCGAGCGTGGCGGCGCCGCCTGGGGCCATGGCCCAGCCCCGCTCATGCACTTGAGAAAGATCAGAAGCCATGGAGCGGACCAGACAATCACGTGCATGCACTCTTATGAATTCTGGGAATTCCCTTTGTTTCTAAAAAATCCTCGGTCTTCGAGGGTTGGAATCGGGAATATGTGAGAAGGCGAAAAACATTAGAAAAACCATTGGAAATCAACGATTTTACCCTCTTTGGGCTCTCTCGGGACGGCCCTCGCAGCTCTCTTGGGCTGTTCTTGGAGCCTCGTCGAGGTCTTTTTGGGGCCTCTCAGGGATCGGGTGTGTGTTGGGCGGCTCTGGGAGGTCCCGGAGGCCTCTCGGAGGACTCTGGAAGCCTCATGCTCCCGCTCTTGGACCCATTTTGGGCATGTTCTGGGGTGGTTTGGGGCTGTCCTGGGCGACTCTTCGGGAGTCTTGGAGCCTCTTGGCTCGTCTTGGGGTCTTCCTGAGGTCTCTTGGGTGGTCTTGAGGCGGTCTTGGGAGCCTCTTCGGCGCTCTTGGACCATTGGACCCTTGGACCTTGGAGCCACAAACATTGAAAGAAGCACATGAAAATCAACGCTTTTGGCCTCTTCTAGCCGTCCCGGGACGCCTCTCGGACCTCTCTTGGGATCTGTTGGAGGCCACCTGCGAGCCTCGAGAGCCGTCGGAAGGCTGACTTGGGCTGGTTGGGAGCGTCTTGGACCATCCTTTCACATTCTGGGTGCTCCTGAAAGCGTCTTCGGCCCTCCTGGGGCGCTGTGGAGGCTCCCCGGAAAGGCCTCTTGGGCTCCTGGGGGGCATTCTTGGGCGGTTTAGGCGTCTAGTGGGCCGTCTTGGCCCCCTCGTGGGCCGTCTTGGAGCCCTCTTGGAGGCATCCTTGACCGGCTTGGGTACCTCTTGGGCCGTCTTGGGCGCAGTGGAAACAATCAGGGAGGTACCGCCGGGGGTGGGAAACTATGTGGACGCTCGCCCTGGCCCTGTCGCCTCCACTCACGTACCACTGGTATGCAGCTCTCGGAAATACATGGCGGCGTATCGTTCACGTGAATGCCTTGTCCGAGCCTCTACGCGAAGCAATGAATTCGCACCGATTCCACGAGGACGTTTAGCAGAGCATGCTAGCAAGACTGCAACAGGTCGAATGGCTGACCAAGAACAGTCTGCAAGGGAAGACTCCAATGGCAACACCTGCTTGAGGCACCGCCGGGGACGGACCCTGGTCGACCCTCTTGGGCGCGCCCTGGGGCTCTCTTGGGCCGTTTCGGGGGGCCCATTGGGGGACTGCTTCGGAGTCGCTCTTGATGTTTTTTCGGGTCTCTTGGGGACCACTCGGGGCTTCTTGGGCGCCTCGTCCCCGTCTTAGGCGCCGACTTGGGGCGTTGTTGGGCGGTTTAGGCGTCTCGTGGACCGTCTTGGCCCCCTCGTGGGCCGTCTTTGGGCCCTCTTGGGGGCATCCTCGACCGTCTCGAGTGCCTCTTGGGCCGTCTTGGACGCTGTGGAAGCCCAACAGGCGAACATGCCAAAAATAGCAGTTCTCCCATAGGAAATCTACGATGTTTGCATATTTGGGCCACTCTCGGGGTGCCTCTTGGGGCGTCTTCGAAACCTCTTTTGGTGTTTTTTCGAGTCTCAGGGGGGCCTCTTGGGGCTTCTGGGCCCCTTCTTGGAGCCTCTTGGGGTCTCCTGGGGGTCTCTTGGGCCAAAAGGCGCGAATGTCTGGTTCCTCGTCCCCGGCTTGGGCGCCGCCTTGGGGCGTTCTGGGGCGTTTTGGGCGCCTCGTGGACCGTCTTGGCCCCCTCGTGGGCCGTCTTGGGGCCCTCTTGGGGGCATCCTCGACCGTCTCGGGTGCCTCTTGGGCCGTCTTGGACGCTGTGGAAGCCCAAAAGGCAAACACACCAAAAATAGCAGTTCTCCCATAGGAAATCGACGATGTTTGCATATTTGGGCCACTCTCGGGGTGCCTCTTGGGGCGTCTTCGAAGCCTCTTTTGGTGTTTTTTCGGGTCTCATTGGGGCCTCTTGGGGCTTCTGGGCCCCTTCTTGGAGACTCTTGGGGTCTCCTGGGGGTCTCTTGGGCCAAAAGGGTAGAATGTCCGGTTCCTCGTCCCCGTCTTGGGCGCCGCCTTGGGGCGTTCTTGAGCGGTTTGGGCGCCTCGTGAGCCGTCTTGGCCTCCTCGTGGGCCGTATTGGGGCCCTCTTGGGGACATCCTCGACCGGCTTGGGTGCCTCTTGTGCCGTCTTGGACGCAGTGGACGCCCAAAAGGCAAACACGCCAAAAATATCAGCTTTCCAATCGGAATTCGACGACTTTTGCTTATTGGGCCTCTCTCGGGGTGCCTCTTGGGGCGTCGTCGGGGCCTTCGGGGGCCTTCTTGGCGTCATGGGAGTCGTCTTGAAATTCGTCTGGAGCCATCGCTGCGGCCTCCTGGGGCCTCCCTGCAGCCTCTTGGGGCCCTGTTGGCCCCGGGTCGCCGAAACCGCGTAAACACACAAGGAAAACGACGCCCTGGCCCCTTATTTGAGGTCGTGGTCCCAGCCCTGGGCCCCCAGACCCGGTCCCCCCTGAAATGTATACACGACGCCTGGTCCTATTACAGGAAGTAGTCGCAAGCGAACGTCCCGTTATCAAATGGACAACCATACGTCCAAAAAGTTGCTGCAGGCGTTCAAAGCAAATGAGCTCGGCACCCATCTAATCCCACCACCCGTAGAACTGCAACACGATAGTTCAAGGCGAATGTGCGCGGCGCTGAGGCCAGAACCACATTTGAAACAAATTCGCCCTCCATCTGTACAAGTGTTGGAAGATGTTAAGACGAGCGCGCGCGACGCTAAGGCACGAACCACACTGTGACAACGATCTGAACTCCACTCGCTCAGCTGTTGCATCTCGTAAGTTTCAGGACTGTAAGTCGCGAGGAGGTCTCAGTCAAAACGCCTGGCCCGCATCAACGACGCGGCTGGTGGGGAGGCACAGGGGAAATGATAACTACGAGGAAGAAGGATGGGGGAGGGAGGAGGACCAGTGGAAGGGGTAGGAGGGCAGGAACTGGGAGGGGCGGCTGCCACTCTTCGCTCTTTTTGGGGCCTCCCAAGGTTCCACTCGTCGCCACTGGCTGGACCTGCCCCCGAATCCTGGTCAGATCGCTTCCCAGGAGAGGCCCTGTGGTCGAGTTTGAGGGAGTAGGAGGAGGATGAGGAGGAGGAGGAGAAGGAGGAGGAGGAGGAGAGAGGGAGGAGGGAGAACCCCCCCCTAGTGTTCCCCCAGTAGCTTCCCAAGCGCTGGGGGAACACGCAGTTCACTTGCATGGCGCACCTTCGCTGGACAGTTCACCATTCAGGCGTTTGCAGAAGGCAGGGAACACCGGTGATTCAAAAGAGGCGCATTCGAGACAAAGTGCTCGCTGCAACGGCGACCTACACTGGTCTGGTGCAGTTGAGAAAAAGAACAGCCAAATGCAAAAACACAAACTGTCGGTGTTTGCCGCAGATTTGTTGGGTTGGCGCTGGACCTCCCTTGTCTAGCGCGTGAGCGCCACCAAAGGGGTCCTGCGCCGACCCAAGAAACCCGCGCGGAGCCGAAAGTTTATGCTGATGGTGTGTGTGTGTTTTTGCTCGAGGTAGGACGTCGCGATAGCATGGTAACAGTGACCCAGGGCAAGCAGGACCTTGCGTCCACGGCTTGCCGATCGTTGAATGCGATGCGGCAATGAGGCCAGCGCGCTTGCGTTTGCCCCCCACGTCCCCCAAAAGTCAATCAATCAACAACGCCGTGTCTGCACGACGTATCGGCTGAAGAAGTGCCGCCGGCTGGAGGCGCATGTCCAGACCAGGGCACAGACATCAAGGACAGTTCAGGAGAAGGGTGTCCCAGGGCCACCACACGGCGGCGCCAAAAGACACTCCAGCGCAGGGCCACTCGTACGTGTAGCCATAAAGGCTGGCTGCACGACCAACACTGATGCAAATCCGGGGATCACGATAGCATGCCAACCATTATCTCAGCAGCTTCTGCGCCGGCAAGCGCCCTCCACCTGGCTACATCGACAAACTCGTAAGGGCCTTGGATATCATCTGTCTCCCCGCTACGTGCAGGGACATCCCGTGCGACGTGGTGCCGTCCACGGCATAGGCGCCCTGAGGAGAAATACAAAGAAGATGAGGGGGAAGGGGAAGGGCAAGGAGGAGGAGGAAGTCCATGAGGAACAGAAGGACGAGGACTAGGGGGAGGAGGTGGCGGATAACATCTGGCCAAGGTTTGGCTACCACGTCGTGGCTCCAGAACAACTTACGCTCCACCGGACTGCACGATCGCCTGCCTCAGCTAGTAGTACGAAACAAAAAATAATTCTCGGATTTCTCGGATCGGCGCTGGGCGCCAGGAGCGGCGCCAGGGGCGCCGCCATGGGGGTCCAACGCCGATCCAAGAAATCCGCATGGCCCTCCGAGATATTATATCAGTGCTGGTTTTCCCGAGTCGCGCTTCGCTAGAGGGACTGCCGCCGTGCCCCCTGGCAGGTTGAGGCGTGGCAGAATGTCAAGAACTGTCTGGTAGGGTTTTTGCATTCTGATAAGGGGCCGCCCCTCCCTCTACTCGCGGACTTTTGCGTGCATCCCCCCCTACTCACCAAGGCCACTTCCCTCATGCCCGCTCCAGGATGGTGCACTTTCAGCATGACAACTGCTGCCTGAACCCCCCTTTCCACGCGTGCCCGCTCGAGGATGGTGCACTTCTCGCATGGCAGCTAACGTCTGAACCCTCAAACCATGCGCGCCCGTTCGAGGATGGTGCACTTCCCGCATGGCCGCTAACTCATTGACCCTTCATCCCACGCGCAGCCGCTCGAAGATCGTGCACTTCTCCCGAATTTCCAGGCGCTGCTCCCAAGCGCTCCAGGGCCTCCCAAGGAAGGACCCCTCGTTAAAAACAACGGATATACGCCCCGACCTTCCAAGACGGCCCGTGCAGGCACCCAAAGACACCAAGATGGCCAGAGATGCTCGAAGACTGCCCAAGGCCCGAAGGCGGCCGAATATTGATTCAAGACGGCCCGAGATGCCTCAGAGATGGCCCAACATGGCAACAAGAGGACATTCAACAGGGCCCGAAAAAACCAAAATCATTGACTCCCCTTGGTTGTTGAATGATTTTCACATGGTCCCATTTTCAGGCTGCTGGCAGCTCAAAACGGCCCATGGCCCAAGAAGGCTTCCCGTAGACCCCAGACGGCCTGAGAAGGCTCTTCGACGGCCCAAGACGGCGCCACGAAGGCCCCACGACGGCCCCCAGACACCACCACACGGCCACGAGGGCCCCAAGACTGCCCCACAGGAGGCCAACACAACCAGAAACGGCCCAAACGAGTGTCATCATCATCATCATCATCATCATCATCAGCATCATCAGCATCATCAGCAGCATCATCCTCAGCTGCAGCAGTATCATCAGCATCATCATCATCATCATCATCATCATCATCATCATCTTCATCATCAGCATCACCATCATCAATATCATCATCATCATCAGCAGCAGCAGCATCATAAGCATCGTCATCATCATCGTCATCATCCGCATCATCAACAGCAGCGTCCTCATCATCAGCATTATCATAATCATCAGCATCCTCATCATCACCATCACCATCACCATCACTATCACCAGCATCATCCGCATCCTCAACATCATCATCAGCATCGTCAGCATCATCATCAGCATCATCAGCGGCATCATCGCCCTCATCATCATCATCAGCAGCATCATCGCCGTGATCGTCATCATCAGCATCAACATCAGCATCAGCATCAGCATCCGCATCGTCGTCGTCTTCATCATCATCGGCATCAGTAACATCATCAGCATACATGGTCTTCATCCTCGTCATGATAATCCTTGCCATCAGCATCCAGCATCATCAGCATCAGCATCATCACTAGCATCATCATCATAACACAGCAGCAACGACACCATCATCGTCAGCAGCAGCACCATCAGCAGCATGAGCATCAGCATCATCACTTGCAACATCATACTCATGTTCATGATCATCATCATCAGCATCGGCAGCATCATCACCATCAGCATCATCATCAGCAGCATCAGTATCAGCAGCTGCATCACGATAAGCATCATCACCATCATCAGCATCATTATCATCATTAGCATCATTAACAGCGCGATGACAAGGCCGAACATGATTACAAGCCTGACCATCCTGATCATCAACATCATCATCATCATCAGCAGCATCAGCATCAGCATCATCATCAGCATCAACAACAATCAACAAACACAGCATCAGCATCAGCATCAACATCAGCATAAGCATCAGCGTCGACATCACCACCACCGTCATCATCATCATCATCATCATCATCAGCATCATCATCATCATCATCATCACCACCATCACCATCATAATCATCACCCCCATCGTCATCGACATAACCATCGTAGTCATCGCCATGGCCATCATCATCATCATCATCATCATCATCAGTAGCAGCAGCATCACAGCAGTGTCGTCATCGTCATCGACATCATCGCCATCACGGGCATCATCACCACCGCCACAACCATCGTCAGCATCATCCTCATCATCATCAGCGGCAGCACTATGATCATCACCACCATGATCATCATCAGCAGCATCGTCAACATCATCATCGCCGTCATCAGCATCGCCATCACCATCATCGTCACGATCACCGTCGTCATCATCATCATCATCACCATCACCATCAGCATCAACATTTGCAACATCTCGTCGCCATCACCCTCATGCCTCACCGACATGACCACCATTACCCTCATAGTACTCATCGTCCTCATCATCATCCTCACGGCTCTCCCAAGCCTTGGGGCACTAAGTGTCACACGTCACGGCGTGGCGCGCCCCCTCGAACAGTCGCCACCCAGAATGCTTGGCTGGCACGGTGGCGGGACTTGCTGCAGGCAGCTGGATATCAACAGCGCCAAGACAATTCCCGAAACGCGAGGCGACGAATTGACTTGCGTGAACGCTGCTGACTGAAGAATCCATTCTACTTGAAGAACCTCACCTCCGCCGTGCCTTCCCACGAAAGTGGCGGCAGATGCGCAGTTTGCAGCCCCCGAGGGAGCCACGAGGCATCTACGCTGTCCTCATCCCCGCCGTCCTCCCAGGAGCCCACGGAAGTGGCGACAATTGCGCAGCTCGCAGCCCCCGGGGAGGTCGCGAGGTCTCAAAAGGATCTGCGCTGCCCTTAATTTAGCCGTGCCTCCCAGGACCCCACGAAAGTAGCAACAGTTGCGCAGCTCGCAGCCCCGAAGAAGCCGCGAGGTCTCGGCTGGATGCGCGTGCTCCGCTACTCCGCCGTGCCTCCCATCCAGGGAGCTGCGAGGTCTCTGGTACTCCGCTACGCCGCCGTGCCTCCCAGGAGCCCACGAAAGAGGCGACAATGGCGCAGTTCGCAGCGACCCAGGGAGCAGGGCAGGAGGAGGCAGGAGGAGAAGGGAGAAGGAGTGGACACCACAGTGCTCTGTCCAAAACGCAATCCCGACACAGGAGGGCTGGGAAAGACAGGCGAGTCCCACAGGATGGGGACGGGGAGCCCGTGCCCGCACGGTGCTCTCGCCTCACTGCCAGCTGCATGTTTGGTTCGGGCGCCCACGGCACCTGGCACAACGGAAAACTCGGGTGCACATGGCCGTGCCCTCACCCCTGCCCCAGGACGTTTTCGCGAGCCGACCTCCCACTGCTCGCCGCCTTCCTCGACAAGCTGGCTTCGGGCTCGAACCCGGGCATCGAATCCCGCCACTGATGCACAGACTGCTGGCTCTGCTCACCAGGCCCGCTGGCTCCCCGTACCCACGCCGCAACGGTGCCTGCACGACCCATCCTGACCCCGTGCCCCCCTTGCACCGCGATGCGCTCCCGTGGGCTCCCGCGATCCAGCCCCGACCCTTGCCCCGTCGTGCGCCGGCACCCCGCCTGCCGGCACACTGGGACCGCTCGCGCACGGAGAGCGCACCACAGCCCCACGGGTGCAGCAGCAACCCCTGGCACAGTGGGTGCCGAGACTCCCCCCACCTCGGGCCTGCGACAGCGACATCCCCTGCCATGCCGAGACTGCGAGACAAACGCGGCAGACCCCATCTTCCTGCATCGGTTGTCCGAACCCGGTCGATCTGCTATGGCCCCGGGGCCCGACACAGGACGGAAACGCCTGGTGCGGAAAAATTGCAGCGTTCGGATGTGCAGGTCGTTCCCCACCCCCCCTTGTTTGCCCCCGCCGTCGGTCGGCGGCGGGCCCAGGGGGAAGCAAAAAGCTTTTGAGGGGGAATGCCCCACTAACAGAGACAAATTCGCCGGCCCAACGGGCCAGAGGCGTGCTAAGATCTCCGGTAGCTGGTAATCAGTATTTCTGGTTCGCGCGCGCGGGGCGGCCCCTGGGGGTCCCTGGATCAAAAATACCCCGAGAGGAGCCCGGGACACGCCCGGGACACGCCCGGGACACGCCCGAGACACGCCCGGGACACTCCCCCAGATCCTCCAGGATCGCCCCAAGAGGGCCCTAAGAGGCCCCCAACACAATCCAAGAGAGGTCCGAGACGCCCGAAGATCGCTCCACGGCGCCCAAGATGGCCTCCAGACGGCCCAAGGTCTCCGACCCAACAAGATGCCCCAAGAGGCCTCCAGGAGCACTCCCAAGAGGGCCCCAAGAGGCAACAATCAATGCTTTCTCTTAGGTTTTGGACAGATTTGGGCGTTTCAACCTTTTCGGTTCCCCGACGCCCCTGAACGGCTCAAAAGGCCTCCAAGATCGATCGCCCCAAGAGGGCCCAAGAGGCCCCAAGGCGGCCCAAGAAGGCTCCAAAACGGCCCCAGAGGCCTCCAAGACTTCCCAACAGGGCCCCAAGAACGCCCCCAACACTGTCCAAGAGGGGTCCGAGACGCCCAAAGATCGCTCCACGACGCCCAAGATGGCCTCCGGACGGCCCAAGACGTCTCCAAGATGGCCCAAGAAGCCTCCAAGATGCCCCAAGAGGCCTCTAAGAGAACTCCCAAGAGGGGCCCAAGAGGCAAAAAACTGTGTTTTCCCTTTGATTTTGGACAGACTTGGGCGTTTTAACCTTTTCGGTTCCCCGACGCCCCTAAACGGCTCAAGAGGCCTCCAAGATCGCCCCAAGAGGGCCCAAGAGGCCCCAAGAAAGCCCCAAGACGGCCCAAGAAGGCCCCAAGACGGCCCCAGAGGCCTCCAGGACGGCCCAAGAGGGCCCCAAGAACGCCCCCAACACGGTCCAAGAGAGGTCCGAGACGCCCGAATATCGCTCCACGACGCCCAAGATGGCCTCCAGACGGCCCAAGACGTCTCCAAGATGACCCAAGAAGCCTCCAAGATCGCCCCAAGAGGCCTCCAAGAGAACTCCCAAGAGAGCCCCAAGAGGCCCGCAAGAGGGCTCCAAGATGGCCCAAGACGGCTCCAAGACGGCTCAAGAGGCCTCCAATATCGCCCCAAGAGGGCCCAAGAGGCCCCCAAGAGGGCTCCAAGATGGCCCAAGACGGCTCCAAAACGGCCCAAGAGGCCTCCAAGACGGCCCAAGAGGGCCCCAAGAACGCTTCAAGAACGCCCCAAGAGGGGGTTCACGAAACAGAATTTCGGGCTCTCGGCCCTTAGAGGCCCCCGGGGGGTCCCAAGATGCCCCCAAAGGCCCCAAGGGGCCCCCAAGAGGCCCGCAAGAGGCCTCAAGAGGCCTCCAAAAGGCCCTCTGGAGGCCTCCAATTAGCCTGGCGAAGGACCCAACCATATGCAGCTGCGAGTACCGCACGGATATGAGACGAAGGAGGGGGCACGCAAACTAGGCCCCTCTTCTCATAAGCACCGCGCCACTGGGGCCTTCGGTGGAGCTCCCTATGGGGCCACGGAACGTGTGAGGGGTGTGCCGAGATGGGTGGTGGGGAGGCATGCGGACCCTGCCACTGGGGCCTTCGGTGGAGCTCCCTATGGGGCCACGAAACGTGTGAGGGGTGTGCCGAAATGGGTGGTGGGGGGCACTGGGGCCTTCGGTGGAGCTCCCTATGGGGCCACTGTGTGAGGGGTGTGCCGATTGGTGGGGAGGCATGCGAACCCTGCCACTGGGGCCTTCGGGAGCTCCCTAGCCACGAAACCAGGGGTGTGCCGAACCGAAACTGGGGGTGGAGGGGGAGCATGCGCGAACCCTGCCACTGGGGCCTTCGGTGGAGCTCCCTATGGGGCCACGAACGTGTGAGGGGTGTGCCGAAATGGGTGGTGGGGAGGCATGCGAACCCTGCCACTGGGGCCTTCGGTGGAGCTCCCTATGGGGCCACGAAACGTGTGAGGGGTGTGCCGAAATGGGTGGTGGGGAGGCATGCGAACCCTGCCACTGGGGCCTTCGGTGGAGCTCCCTATGGGGCCACGAAACGTGTGAGGGGTGTGCCGAAATGGGTGGTGGGGAGGCATGCGAACGCAGCCACTGGGGCCTTCGGTGGAGCTCCCTATGGGGCCACGAAACGTGTGAGGGGTGTGCCGAAATGGGTGGTGGGGAGGCATGCGAACCCTGCCACTGGGGCCTTCGGTGGAGCTCCCTATGGGGCCACGAAACGTGTGAGGGGTGTGCCGAAATGGGTGGTGGGGAGGCATGCGGACCCTGCCACTGGGGCCTTCGGTGGAGCTCCCTATGGGGCCACGAAACGTGTGAGGGGTGTGCCGAAATGGGTGGTGGGGAGGCATGCGAACCCTGCCACTGGGGCCTTCGGTGGAGCTCCCTATGGGGCCACGAAACGTGTGAGGGGTGTGCCGAAATGGGTGGTGGGGAGGCATGCGAACCCTGCCACTGGGGCCTTCGGTGGAGCTCCCTATGGGGCCACGAAACGTGTGAGGGGTGTGCCGAAATGGGTGGTGGGGAGGCATGCGAACCCTGCCACTGGGGCCTTCGGTGGAGCTCCCTATGGGGCCACGAAACGTGTGAGGGGTGTGCCGAAATGGGTGGTGGGGAGGCATGCGAACCCTGCCACTGGGGCCTTCGGTGGAGCTCCCTATGGGGCCACGAAACGTGTGAGGGGTGTGCCGAAATGGGTGGTGGGGAGGCATGCGAACCCTGCCACTGGGGCCTTCGGTGGAGCTCCCTATGGGGCCACGAAACGTGTGAGGGGTGTGCCGAAATGGGTGGTGGGGAGGCATGCGAACCCTGCCACTGGGGCCTTCGGTGGAGCTCCCTATGGGGCCACGAAACGTGTGAGGGGTGTGCCGAGATGGGTGGTGGGGAGGCATGCGGACCCTGCCACTGGGGCTTTCGGTGGAGCTCCCTATGGGGCCACGAAACGTGTGAGGGGTGTGCCGAAATGGGTGGTGGGGAATCATGCGAACCCTGCCACTGGGGCCTTCGGTGGAGCTCCCTGTGGGGCCACGAAACGTGTGAGGGGTGTGCCGAAATGGGTGGTGGGGAGGCGTGCGAACCGTGGAGGGAGGAGGGCGAGGAGGAGGAGGAGGAGGAGGAGGAGGGGGAGGAGGAGGAGGAGGAGGAGGAGGAACGCGGGGCACCATCTCTTCAAAACGAGGACCCAACACCACAGGATGGTTGGGAAAAAACCCTCAGGAGGCCCCCAGGACGCCTCCAAGACTCCAGCCAGACGCGACTTGGGACACGCGGGTCGGGGTGGTCCTCCTCCCCCGCGTTCGGCCTCCAGCCTCGAGCCTCGACCCTCCACGACGACGACGACGACGCCGGCGGGCGGCGGCGGCGGGCGGCGGCGGCGGCGACGACGACGACGACAAAGGCGCTCCTCATCGTTCCTCATCCCCCTCCTCCTTCCTCCTCCGCCTCCTCCTCCTCCTCTTCCTCCTCCTCCTCCTCCTCGTCGTCCTCCTCCTTCTCCTCCTCCTCCGGTCCAAGTAGAAAAGAAATGGTAAGAGAAACGCTACAAGAAAGTGTTCCTTCACGCCCGCGTCCGCAACGCCAGAGGACATCAGGACGATAACAGAGCCAATGTTAGAGTTCAAAGCCCGCCACCCTCCGACACGAGGATTCCCCTATCGCATAAGATGTCTCCCCCGGCTCGAACGGCCCCACAGCGGGATACCACGGGGAACACGCCCCCACGATGGCACCAAAGCCGTCAAAAAACTGCAAACACCTAGAAGCCCCATGAAAAAACAACAACAAATTTATCGACAACTACACAGCTCCCGACGCCGCAGCTTCACACTGCAAACGACCAATCGGACAGGTGCGACATTATGGGCCGGCGGAATGAGCGAAGCGATGAAAAAATACGAATACCAATACGACCAAAAAGAAAAAAATTAGCCTGGCGAAAGACCCGACCATATGCAGCTGCGAGTACCGCACGGATATGAGACGAAGGAGGGGGCACGCAAACTAGGCCCCTCTTCTCATAAGCACGGCGCCACTGGGGCCATCGGTGGAGCTCCCTATGGGGCCACGAAACGTGTGAGGGGTGTGCCGAAATGGGTGGTGGGGAGGCATGCGGACCCTGCCACTGGGGCCTTCGGTGGAGCTCCCTATGGGGCCACGAAACGTGTGAGGGGTGTGCCGAAATGGGTGGTGGGGAGGCATGCGAACGCAGCCACTGGGGCCTTCGGGGGAGCTCCCTATGGGGCCACGAAACGTGTGAGGGGTGTGCCGACATGGGTGGTGGGGACGCATGCGAACGCAGCCACTGGGGCCTTCGGTAGAGCTCTTTATGGGGCCACGAAACGTGTGAAGGGTGTGCCGAAATGGGTGGTGGGGAGCCAATTCGGTGGAGCTCCCTATGGGGCCACGAAACATGGGGCCTTCGGTGGAGCTCCGGGGCCACGAAACGTGTGAGGGGTGTGCCGAAATGGGTGGTGGGGAGGCATGCGAACGCAGCCACTGGGGCCTTCGGTGGAGCTCCCTATGGGGCCACGAAACGTGTGAGGGGTGTGCCGAAATGGGTGGTGGGGAGGCATGCGAACGCAGCCACTGGGGCCTTCGGTGGAGCTCCCTATGGGGCCACGAAACGTGTGAGGGGTGTGCCGAAATGGGTGGTGGGGAGGCATGCGAACGCAGCCACTGGGGCCTTCGGTGGAGCTCCCTATGGGGCCACGAAACGTGTGAGGGGTGTGCCGAAATGGGTGGTGGGGAGGCATGCGAACGCAGCCACTGGGGCCTTCGGTGGAGCTCCCTATGGGGCCACGAAACGTGTGAGGGGTGTGCCGAAATGGGTGGTGGGGAGGCATGCGGACCCTGCCACTGGGGCCTTCGGTGGAGCTCCCTATGGGGCCACGAAACGTGTGAGGGGTGTGCCGAAATGGGTGGTGGGGAGGCATGCGAACGCAGCCACTGGGGCCTTCGGTGGAGCTCCCTATGGGGCCACGAAACGTGTGAGGGGTGTGCCGAAATGGGTGGTGGGGAGGCATGCGAACGCAGCCACTGGGGCCTTCGGTGGAGCTCCCTATGGGGCCACGAAACGTGTGAGGGGTGTGCCGAAATGGGTGGGGGGCATGCGAACGCAGCCACTGGGGCCTTCGGTGGAGCTCCCTATGGGGCCACGAAACGTGTGAGGGGTGTGCCGAAATGGGTGGTGGGGAGGCATGCGAACGCAGCCACTGGGGCCTTCGGTGGAGCTCCCTATGGGGCCACGAAACGTGTGAGGGGTGTGCCGAAATGGGTGGTGGGGAGGCATGCGAACGCAGCCACTGGGGCCTTCGGTGGAGCTCCCTATGGGGCCACGAAACGTGTGAGGGGTGTGCCGAAATGGGTGGTGGGGAGGCATGCGAACGCAGCCACTGGGGCCTTCGGTGGAGCTGCCTATTACGAATACTAATACGACCAAGAAGAAAAATAATAAGAAAACGCGGGGTGGGAGACGGCTGATAATGAGGAAAAGGAGGAGAATGACGAGGAGGAGGACGACGAGAGGCAACCGCAGAGAGGAGGGGAAACCAGAGAACGATAAAGGAGGAGGAGGGGAAAGGAGGTGGAGGAGCCTGGGGCAGCGACTGGTTGCTCACCGTCGTGTACCTGCCCGAGCTCGTCCTGCTGGCCAGCTTGCAGAACTGCAGCGCCCTCATGGAAAACCGCTTGCCCCTGCCCAGCTCGGGGCTCGCTGCACCGCCATCCAACGAAGGCTCCGACGGTGTGTCGGGCGGCGAGGTGCTGTGCGCACCCAGACCTCCAGCGCACTGAAGCGCGGAGGTCTGGCATCCTTGTCAGCCTCTTGGGGCCCTCGCCAGGCCCCAGACTCTTAAAACATACCCCAGAACGCTCAATCCGCCATGGGAAAATGCTGGGACTTCTGGGGAGCCCGTATCAAAACAAAAATGTCTCTGGATGCATGTCCCCCGCCGCTGACCAGGCCTGTCCTGGGCCCAAGATCGGCGCGCGTGGCCCCCTGGTCAAGCCAGGAGGCAAGGATGCGCGCCGATCCCTGGCCTGAAATCTGGGGGCGGCGGGCATGTGCAAGGCTCGTGGCCCGGCAGCGAGCAGGGCGCCAGGGCCCTCCCCCGTCGTAGCACTACCAGGGAGAGTCCGGGTGCGACGGGGCCTCCGATATCCGCCTCCTCCCCTCCCGCCCTGTCGCCTGCAGCTTAGTCGATGTGAGCTTCTGCATGAGGATGAATCATCCAGTAAGCCTCATTGTGCTCCTCCCCTCTTCCTCGCCCTCCCTCCCTCACCCCTCCCTCCCCCTCCCTCCCTCCACCCCATTCCTCCTCCCTTTCCTTCGCTTCCTTCTGTCCCCTCCTCCTCCTCCTCCTCCTCCTCCTCCTCCTCCTCCTCCTCCTCCCCCTCCGCCTCCTTCCTTGACTCTTCAGCTCCTTTCCTGGATGCACCACCAGACGCGTCGGTGGGGCGGTGCGGACACGTCGCCCGAGACTTCCTCACCACGTATGATCCCGAATTCGACGTGTCCAACAACAACTGCACGGTTGGAGGGCAGACCGCTCGGCACGCGAGGCCCTCAGGAGGGCCCCTGGACGGCCCAAGAGGGTCCGAAGACGGCCCAAGAGGGCCCCAAGAGGGCTCCAAGACGGCCCAAGGCCCCAAGAGGCCCCAAGAGAGCCCCAAGAGAGCCCCAAGAGAGAACACAGAATCGCAATTCGAGCGCTCCGACCAAGGTGACCCCCGAGAAAGCCAGCAGGCAACCAAGAGGCCCCTTAGAAGCCCCAGGCCCCCAAGAGGGCCAAGTCTAGCCCCCAAAGAGGCCCCCGATATGCCCAGAGACACCTTCAAACCACCTCCAAGAGGCTTCCGAGAGGCATCCCAAGAGATCCCCACAGGCATCCCTGGAAGCCTCTGATCGACAACCCCAGCGCGGTGGCGGGATAGGCCGAAGGCCACTAGATCCGCCGCCCCCTGTTGGCTTACCACAGGGGTGCCTGGCGCGCTAGATCCTCTCGGTTTTGATGTTGGTCCTTTTCCAAAAGAACTCCTCCTGGGCCTCCGGCGCGTCCCGCCAGGGTCCCGGAAAGGTGCTCAAGCTGGAAAAAATCCTCCAAGATGGCTCAAGATGGCGCCATGATGGCCACGTTGGCCCAAGATGGTCTCCAAAATGGTCCAATATGGCCTCCAAGTTCGCCCAAGATGGTCCAAGACGGCCTCCAAGACGGCCCAAGAGAGTCCAAGACGGCCCAAGACGGCCCAAGAGGCCCTCAGGAGGCCTCCAAGACGGCCCAAGAGGCCTCCAGGAGGTCCTCCAGGAGGGCCCGAAGAGGCCAAAATCATTGATGTTCCTTTGGTCTTGGAAGGATTTTGACACTCGCTTCTTCTCGGCATTCCGACGGCTCAAGACGGCCCAAGAGGCCCCCAAGATCGCCCCAAGATCGCCCAAGAGGGCTCCAAGAGGGCCCCATGACGGTCCAAGAGGCCTCAAGACGGCCCCAAGACGGCCCAAGAGAACTCCAAGACGCCCAAGATGGCCTCCAAGACGGCCCCGAAGCGCCCCACGAGGACCCCAAGTCGGTTCAGAGAGGCCCCCAAGACGCTTCCAAGACGGCCCAAGATGCACCCAAGACGGTCCAAGATAGCCTCAAGATGGCCCATGACGGCCCTAGAGGCTCCCCAGAGGCCTCCAAGACGGCCCAAGAGGCCTCCAAGGGCCTTAATCATTGATTTCCCTACGTAAAGGTTTTGAAGGATTTTGGCATTTGCTTCTTTTCGGCCTTCCGACGGCCCGAGACGGCCCACGGTCCCCGAAAGATCGCTCACGGGGCCTCCAGGACGGCCCCAGAACGGCCCAAGAGGCCCCCAAGACGGCCCCAAGAGGGCCCCCAGACGGCCTAAGAGGCCAAGACGGCTTCCGACAGAATCGGACGTGCCAGGGATGCTCTGAGACGGCCAGAGAGGTTCCCGAGCAGCACCCAAACGCCCCCAACATGCCCAAACAGGCCCCCAAAATGCGTCCAAGAGGCTCCCAGGAAGCTCACAGGAGGCCCCAAGAGTGTTCCCAGAGGCTCCCGAGATGCCCCCTCCTTCTCCTCCTCCTCATTCTCCTCCTCCCTCTTCCCTCCTCCCTCCTCCCTCTCCTCCTCCTCCTCCTCCTCCTCCTTCTCCTCCTCCTCTTCCTCCTCTCCTCCTCTCCTCCTCTCCTCCTCCTTCTGCTCCTCCTTCTCCTCCTCCTCCTCATCCTGATCTTCCCCGCCAACCTCCCCCAGGTGTCCCCCGAAGGGTTTCCATGACGGTTGGGGGAACATATGGTCCGATAGCTTGGCAGAGCTCTTGCCACAACGCTCGGACACATGTGCGATTTCAAACCTCTTGCTCCCCCACGCGTTCCCCGAAGGCTTTCCAAACCAACTCGGGGAACAACTGGCCTGATAGCCTGGCAAAGCTCTAGCCCAGCTGTCGGCCACGTAGGCGCTTCCACAAGGGCGGGGGGGCGGCGGTGATTCGCCGTAGGCGTCTTTGATCCGCCGCCCCCTGTTGCCTTGCCACAGGGGTGCCCTGCGTGCCAGACTTCAGGAGGCGGTCGTTCTTTAGGAACTCCCCCTGGGGGTTCGGTCCAGCGCGCCTGCCACCCGAAGGCCGCACAAACGACCTCAACGTCCGCAACAAAAAAATCTCCAAGACGGCTCAAGATGGCTTCTAAAATGATCATGTTGGCCCAAGATGGTCTCCGGGATGGCCCAAGATGGTCCAACTTGCCTCCAAGTTCGCCGAAAAAACCACCCAGACGGCCCAAAATGGCTCCAAGATGCCTCCGAGTCCACCCATGAAGCCTCCAGGATGGCCCAAGACGGCCCAAGAGGCTCCCAAGACGCCCCCAAGACGTCCCCCAGGAGGGCCCGAAGAGACCCAAAAGTTGATTGCCCATAGGTTCCCGAAAGATTTGGGAATTTGCTCCTTATCGACCATCTGATGGCCCGAGACGGCCCAAGAGCACCCCAAGATCGGCCCAACATCGCCCAAGAGGCGTCCAAGATGGCCCCAGAACGGCCCAAGAGGAACTCAAAACGGCCCAAAGAGGGCCCCAAGACGGCCCAAGAGACCTCCAAGACGCCCAAGATGGCCTCCAAGACGGCCCTCGAGCACCCCAAGAGGGCCCCAAATCGGCCCAGAGAGGCCCGCTTCCGACGGCGTCAGACAAGCCAAAGCTGCCCCAAGACGGCAAGAAATGCCCCAGAAAAACCCACCACCAAGGCCCCCAGGAGGCCCAAGGAAGCCTCCAAGATGCCTCCAGGAGGCTCCCAGGAAGCTCCCGGGAGGCCCCCAAAGTGCCGCCAGGGGCTCCCAAGATACCCATTCCATGTGTTTCCTCTTCTTCTTCCTCCTGGTGTTCCCCGCCATCCTCCCCCAAATGTTTTCCGAACGGTTTCCACTTGGCAGAAGTCTTGCCACAGCGCTCGGCCACATGGGCGATACAAGCAGGGGGCGGCGGTGATTCGCCGCAGGCGTCTTCGATCTGCCGCCTCTGTTGACTTGGCACAGGGGTGCCTGGCGTGTTAGATCCTGTACGCTTTGGTTTGGTTGTTGCCCAAAAATGTTCCCCCGGGGGGTTCGGCCTCACGCGCCTGCCACCCGGAAGGCCGCTGAGCTGCACAATAAACGTCCCCAAGACGGCTTCGGATGACCTCCAAGACGGCCATAATGGCCCCGACTTTCGCCCAGTGCGGGAATTGAAAAGGAAGGATGGAAGGCTTCATCATGAGGTAATAAACTGAGAATCTTACTATCGGGATAACGTCGGCGACGCATCGGGGCATGCCACAACTCATCCCTCGATGCCAAGCAAGATGAGAGACAGGAGGCAAGTCATGAGAGGTAGAAGCAGATCAGTGATAGACTTCGCCTTCGTCTAATACTGTGATCCGGATAGAGCCACACTGTCGTGTAACTAGCAACTGGGGCTGCGCAACCTCAAGCCAAGATTACGGCGGATATAGCGCTCGCTATACAGCCCACCTTGAAACTTGTTTAAACTCGGCACGGGGGGGGGAAGCTATATCCAAGCCCTACTTGAATTCTATCCAGTAGAAAAAGGGACAGGGATATTGAATTTAACATCCCTCACAGTACACAGTCGAAGCGCAGAGAGGACAGCATAGAGCACTAAGGCCAGCCGCGGGGCTCATGGACAGTCACGGGCAAGATCACGTGACGAACCACAGATAATTACGGGTGGGCGTCCGGCCGGCCACACGTCATAGCGTGCGACGCGTGAGGGTACCTGACCAAACAGTCAAGCCCCCTCAGTAAAGAAAGGTAAGCGCGCCCGTGTCCTGGCTGGCATGTGAGCCGTGGGTGCATCTGCCCGTGGCCGGGCAATGTTGTTAGGCATTATTGTCACACCTACCCGCTAGCCCTGAGTAGGGCACTCTTGCGTTGGCGCTCTCCCTGTGTTCCTCGATAAGGCATGTACTGTTCTACCTAATGTACTTCTGTACCTCATATTGAAAGGGCAAATTGCCTTCCGCTGCTTGCAGCAACAACATCGGCTCGATGTGTCCTCTGGCACGATCATCTGCGGTCATGTCCCGCGCGTCACATCACTGCACGCCATGAACGATACCTCGGTTCATCGCTTGTCACATCCAGCTGACGTGCCCCAACAGGGCACATTCAGCCGGCTTCTTCAAATCCTTAC